TGCCAAGATTAGTAACCAGGATAACTGTTGAGTGTAAATGACAAGCACAACTCAACCGGGCCGTGCCAGACACAACCGAACCGCACTAACATGGTTCATCAGAAGGGCTCTGCGCGGTTCAGGTCTGGCTCGGTTCTCAGATAACAAAGTGCACATGAGCAGACAGTGTCATCTTCTTACACTCAGCCTCCGTAATCATGAAATTTCAGACAATCAAAAAAATAAAAGCTTCCCTACCGTGCCACACAATTTCCAGCGAAGATTCTGCTTAGCAGGGTGATGAACCTCAACTCCTCTAATTGCCTGCTTCAGCAAGACCCTTAACCTCACACTGCTCCCCGGGCGCCACACAATGGCAGCCCACTGCTCCCCAACAGGATGGGTTAAATGCAGAAGTAAAATTCTCCAGTGTGAGATCATCCATCCATCCATTTTCCAACACGCTTATCCCAAGACGGGTTGCAAGGGGTGCTGGTGTCTATCTCCAGCTGTCTACCGGTGAGAGGCGGGGTACACTGGAAAGGTCACTAGTCCATCGGGGCAACTCAAAGACAAACAGGACAAACAAGCATTCACACTCACACCAAAGGAGAATCTAGAGAAGCCAGTTAACCTACCTTTTGAACTATGGGAGGAAGCCAGAGCACCCGGAGAGATCCCACGCATGCTTAGGGAGAACATGCAAACTCCATGCAGAAAGGCCTGGGAATCGAACCCAGAACTTTCTTGCTGCAAGGCAGCAGCGCTACCCACTGTTCCACTGAGCAGCCCAGTGTGAGATCAATAAAGTTCTATTATTATTATTATGAAAAGCAATGGGAGCGTTCAAACTGCCTCAATAAGGCAGCAGGAGGCTTCCACCCATAATTCAACTCAGTTATTTTTCTTACATCTACACCAGTCTCATTGCAACAACAGGAAACTGAAGGAACACAAGATCTGTAGATAAAATTCACTCAACAACTAAGTTGATAAAATCAAGAGACACAATATCTAGAACTACATCTAAACATCTTTGATGTCTAAGCTGATTTTTGTTTTGAAAAAACATACAGATGAAATCCATCAATTCGATTCAGTTTATTCATATAGAGCCGAGCTGACACGTCATCTCAAGGCACTTTATCACAAATATACAAAGATATACAGCTACTTTTCAACTCTGCACTCATCCTTTGTTGAACAAAAGGATATCTGGATGCTCACAATCTTTTTTAAGAAAAGCAGTTTTACATCCTTCTTCCAATTGTTTTGGTCTCACTTCTGCATGACCTGTGCTTGCTTCCTGGAGGCTAGGAATGGACACGACTAGATTTAAACAACAAACTACCAACAGAAACCCTCCACACACACACATCTTTATTTTCATGACCCATGGGGACATTTCACTGACTTGCATTAATTTTATATGGCCTACCCAGACCCTTATCCTAACCCTAACTATTGCCAACATATTCCTAACCCTAACCTTTCCTTCCTTATGTCCCTAACAGAGCCCTTTGCTCTCAATCTGCAGGTTTACTAGAGGTTCCTAAAATTTCTAAAAGTAGAATGAGAGGCAGATCTTTTAGTTATCAGGCTCCTCTACCGTGGAATCAACTACCAGTTTTAGTCTGTGAGGCAGACACCCTGTCTGTTTTTAAGGGTAGGCTTAAAACTTAAAAGTGGCTCGGGTTATCCTGAGCTATCTCTATAGTTATGCTGCTATAGGCTTAGACTTCTGGAGGACATAGGGACCCCCATTTCATCATTCTTCTTCATTTTATCTCTATCCTCCCAATCTGCAGAATCTGTTAGTTCAATCTCTAACGTAGCTAGTAGCTTCACCTGGTCTGTTCCTGTTTGGCTGTGACACCATCCTGGAGAGAAATATCAGCTGTGCTGCTGCCATCAACACCCTTGGTTATAGACCTTGGAGGTCGGCCTGTTTTTCCAGAGTAGTCCTGTTTCTCTGACTGTTACTGGCTGGATGTGCTCTCTTCATCCTCTGATATTGGAGCTGTCTCGGAGCTTGTCTGCCTGGCTGTGTGTTTCCTGGACGGGGCCACCTTTTCCAGCTGCTTTTTGTATCTCTGCTTCTGTCTCCTTGAACCCCAGTCGGCCTCAGCAGATGGCCGCTCACACTGAGCCTGGTTCTGCTGGNGTCCCTAACAGAGCCCTTTGCTCTCAATCTGCAGGTTTACTAGAGGTTCCTAAAATTTCTAAAAGTAGAATGAGAGGCAGATCTTTTAGTTATCAAAGTTATAAAACTTTGAATCAATTTGACTGGATGACCTGGTGAACTGTAAAGTGCCCTGAGATGACATGTGTTGTGAATTGGTGCTGTGTAAATAAACTGAATTGAACTTTAACTGAATTCACACCTTGGTCCTAAACCTAGCCTCAACTACAAGAACAGAACTTTATCACATGGGGACCAGTTAAATGTCACCATATCTGTTAGTCCCCGCATGTAGGATACTTTACAAAATACTTCCCACACATTGTAGGTAAAACAAGACCACACATTCAGTTATACTTTTAGATCTACTGCCTCTAAAATTCCTGACTGGGTGTATGGCGTAAATGCGCTCCAGTATATTACCACTGATTAGAAAATAGCATCTATACATGCCATAACTGCTACAAACATCACGACATTCACAAACATTGTGAAATCATTTAACTTCCGTTGTTACTCACATGCACCGCAATGTGTTTGTCTCTATAAATCTCAAAAAGATGGGTCAAAGCTGTGGTTGTAAAATGATAAAATGTCCATTATTTCATTTACATGCAACAACTTAGAAGTAGTTACTAAAGCGGATTATCAGTCTAGGTCAGATGATATCAAATCTCTGACTGCAGTTTCAAATGTTCGTAGCTATGTCTAGCAGGTGTCACCTACTGCAGTTCAAATACGGTAAAAAAAAAAAAGCAAAGAATAACTAAGGAAATGCAGAACAAAACAAAACATAAATGTTATCTTCATTTTCCCTTTCGAGTACATAACCAGTAATTAAAGAAAGCCCATGATTTGTTGACATCCTGTGAATTAGTCCTGTGTAATGTGGCTCCAAGGAGCTTTACATGTGGCTTTCGTTGCAACAGGCAAGCCTAAACAGGCCCGACAGTCAGGGCGCTCGGCTCGTGTGGAGGTGGGTCACTGAGTGTATCGTTTGTGGGGTCAGAAACATGTGCATTGTGTGTCAGGTTCTTACGGTAATGAAACTGGAATCAAACCATTCCAGATATTCTGAAAATGATCAGGTGTTGATCATCTTTTAGTATGTCTAAAGGTCCTACATCATGAATTGTTTTATCACAGTAAAATGTAAAACACAGAACCTAGTAGATAAAAACAACAACCTGTTGATCAACTTCTCCACCTTTGTATTCATTCCTCTTCTGCTTTCTCTTTCCTCTTATTTCTTTAGCAAACATGCTAAAAAAAATCCTCTCATTACTCAGCTGATATAAAAAGTATAGATCAATCATCTCACTGCGCCATTTCCACCCTTTTTCTACCTAATATATGAAAAAATCCTGCTGAAATGATGTAGCTAACTGAGCTGAAAAGGTTCGGCCTGAGATAGAGGAGTATGAAGAGGAAGAAGGGATGCAGGCGTGGAAAGCAGGGGGTCTCCTGGAGGGACGGAGAGGGGGCTTTAAAAACATTCCAGTCTTCACACTGGGCCTATTCATATATCTCCTCATTCACTTTTGATCAAACCATCTGTTTTACACCCCTTGCTGATCCTCCTATTTGATTTATTTTTCTTAAAAAACGAAATCCAAGCAAAACCTGCACACAAAAGAGAAACAAAAAACACATTAAAGACCTCATTCACCTCAGTGAAGCTCCTTTGAGCAACATCTGTGTTAGGATGGTGATAGTAGCCATCAGAGGATGGGTACATTGTGGTCATGGGTGTCAGAGATGCTTGGTGTGGTATGCTGTGGTTATGAAGGAAGACAGACTAAGCTTTAATGTCCTCCATTCTAACTCTGCAAAAAAATAGAATTAAAAACAATCCACTGGACTTTGTTTCCAAGTTTGAAGACTTTTCGTTTCCCATCCAAGAAGCTTTTTCAATTCAAAATGTCAGGAATTGAGTTTGAGGTTTAACTCAACTGTATTCCTTATCTGGGTGACTGAGAATCTTCTCAATTCTAACTTGTTTAAAGTCGGAGGAAAGCGGCTGTTCCGACCGTTGCATTTCCGAATTCTCCTGAGTAGTGCATGACTTTACACAAGTGAATAAAGTGAATGTGATTGGTCATTTATCAAGAGGGCGGGATTGTTGTGGCGGAAGGTTTGCAAGCAAGGCTGGATTTGGCCGGTTTGTCAGAAACATCTTGCTAACCAGTTAGCAACTTAGTGCTAGTAGGTTCCCAATGGGAAATTACATTGGGACCAAGTAGCACTTAGAAACGATACTGCTAAGGAACACTATGGACAGCGGAAACATGCAAGAGGAGGAGAGTAAACCGCTGCGTATATTAGCTGTGACAATCAAGTTGCTATGACCGAAAAATTTGATTGACAGATGACCGCTGATATATGATTGGCCGAATTTAGGTGTACAAGCTGACGTATAACTAACTGGCCTGGATAACATAACGAAAAAAAGAAACAGATTTTATTCCCAAAATTTTGTGACAATAAAGTCTGATAAAGAATACATTTATATACATGTTTAAGCCAGATTGATTTGACATTTAAATGTGACTTACCTACGACTCTAAATCAAATTAACTTGTTTATTGTTCTGTAATTTGTTAAACAACTACAGCTTGATGGACATTTCCGTGAAATGTGAAATTTCTGTGAGATTTTTTTAGGTTATGTTGTTCCATCCTCCTCTTAAAGTAACGGAAAAAAGTTATGTACTGTTCTTTTTTTTTCTTTTTTTACTGAACAAACTCCCATGTTATCTAGTACAGCTTTATTACGTGATAAAAGAAAAATAACCACGTGCCTACGGACAGGGAATCATTTCTAAAATGTGATGTCTTACCTGGTTTAGTGATGCTCTGAAAGTAAAGAACAAGGACGAAGAAAGAGCAGAGGCACGTCGCCAGGAACAGCCGTCCTCCCCTCGGCATCCCCATCATAGTCTGGCGGAGCCTCCAACCCTACGACTCTTCCTCACCGCGGTCAGCCGCCAGAACAGAGGCTCTCTATGCTTCATCTACCGGAAACAGGGCTGAAAAAACACACAGCGGCCGGCCGGGGCTGGCCTGCTGAGCGGGGATGTGATCTAAGGTCCGTGAACGAGACATAAAAATCAGTCCCAACTGCGAGCTTTTTTTTTTTTTTTTTTTAACAGCGTTATTTCTAACAATAAAACGAACGGATACGACTGGTAGTAAAATGGAAATAAAAAAGAAACATTTAACGGTCTGGCCTGAACATTTCCTCCGTGACCCCCTCGTTCACAGTTTGGTGTCTGAAGTTTGTCGAAGCGAAGCGAACTTCTCCTCCAGACATGTACGGGGCACTGTGCCATGACGTCACACACCCCCACCAACTCCCCCTCCCTCGCCCCCTCTATCATCTGAGCTGCCTTCAGGGACTGTCGGTACTCAGAAACTCCACTCCCCCCTAATATTCATTTTGATATGTTGGAGAGCTGTAGTCAATAAATGATAATACTCGTGGACATTTCCACAACTGAACGTCAGTGCAGGAACCTATGACAATAAATTACAGACAAGCCAGCCGTTCTTTAAAGTGTAGCTTATTGCTCTGCAAAAACTATTGAAGGCAGCACCTTAGAAAAAAACCTCAGAAGTGGTAACCTTTGAATAAAATCGTATTATTTATCGAAATCATTATATAGTCTTTATATAAAAGTAGAAATGCATATATTGTTACACAGTTGAGAAATTTACAAATATACAAAAGACTAAATATGAAAAGGTTAAGATTAAAGACGACCAAACATCTTAGAAATAAAAAAGGAAAGCGTTGATTTGAAATAAAATGGCATCCTGTTTTGGGGTCTTTCTATACTGAGTTTAGGTTCCCCCCAAAGTCCAACATGACCTTTAGGTCAACTGGTGACTCTAAATTGCCCTTAGGTGTAGTGATGGTGAGATGAAGCCTCATGAGGCATTGAACTGTTTGGGCTAATGGCTTCAACAATCCCCTCAATTCATAAAGCTTCATGTGAACATGCATGTACGTGCATAACTACAGTTAGTAATATAATCTGTAATTTGTTTTGCAATTGTTTTTCTTGTTTATTTTGTTCCATCTAAGTTCCTTTAAAATTGTTTATGATTGGTGTGTATAATACAATGTTTTGTAAGTTTTTTTGAGTGTAAAATGTCGTAGAAGACAACAATAATTAATGGTACACTGTGTTTCTGCCATTTTAGTGAAATAAGCTCAAGCAGACAGTGAAAATGCTTGTGAAAATTGGGAAATGATGAGCAAAATTAAAATTTTAGTCATTTTTATTCAAACATAATAGTTTTTACACAGTCCTTGGTTTTAATCTGGTTGGAAGTTATGTGTTCAACCAATCAACCAAATGGATGAAAAGACTTTGCCACAAGCATGATTGTAGACAAAAAATATTTCCATAACAGGTTATTAAAAACAAAAAACAAAACTCTCCAAATATTCATTATCATCAGGCAGTTAAAGCCACTGATTATAAAAACACTTTTGAGTTCATAATGCTATGCATAAAAAAGAAATTATTGATCAGATAAAGAAATTGCAACAAAAAATTTGTACCATAGATAATTTGGCAATCTATGTTACAGCTATATTTTACAGAATGGGCTCTCCGGCTTCACAGAAGCCTGATAATGGGAGAAATTCTCAATAAGTGATGATATTTTCATTGTAATATTGCTGTCTCCCACTGCCTGTACTGTGTGTCATGGGCATCCAAGGTTCTAATGAGTTTAGTCAACCACTTCCGCTTAGCTGCAGATAAACAGCTTCTGGAACAAACCACACCTCAGAAAATTACTGTGATTCCACCACAGTCAATGAAGGTCCTCATGTGGTTTTAGGAGCTTTAGGAATTATTTCTTAGAAAATGTTACTTTGTCCCCTCCCAGAGGCATAATGATCTTTAGAGGGCTTTAGGTCATGCACAAGTGAAATAAACTGACATAAATCTTTCAAGGGTTGAAGAATAAAAAAATAAAGAAAACAGAGACTTGGCAACAAAACCCTTGTTGCTATTTAAGTACTTTGTTTGCTGTGGATTCAAACATCGTAGTCTGCAACACCTTTTATTTTCAGCACCATTTAAGTTAGAATAACTCGAAATTGTTGAAAGTAGTTATGTTGTTTCATGAGTATCTCTGATGTATTCGCTTGTTGCTATCTCTCCTCTTGCAAATTCTGTGTTAAATATAAAACAAAATTACTGCACTTAAGTTTCCCATTTTAGCTTAAACCGCATGTGGAATGCAAGCCTGCAGCTCTACAGCTATATTAAGACTAATTAGCGCTGAAAGGTCAACTTTAGATTGAAGTAAAAAAAAAAACACACATCAAGTAACCAGATAAAACAATCCCACACACACCCTGATAATATGAATGCTTATATAGAAATGGTAAAAAAGAGGATCTACTTCTTAGACAATAAGCAATATGACAAATATTCTCAAAGCAGGGTCTGGCATGACAAACATGATGTGTACAGGCTGGTAAAATGCAAAAGAACAACCTAAACAGCAAACGATAAAAAAAAAGATGACAGTCTCAAAGGATTCATAAAAAGACAGATGTTGACTCTCCCTACAACTAATTTGATAAAATCTGTGCCCAGGGATGAGTGTGCTGCAAAGTCTATTCTATATTTAGAAGTTGGATTTTTTAATAGTTTCAAGATGGAAAAAATCAAAATGTAATTAACTGTATTTCAATGGTCATCTAAGTCCTTAAAACTACAGTCCTGTCATATTTGATCAATTTACCCCCACACTTTTTATTGAATAATTGAGACTCTATATGGTGGAACAACACCAAGCAACACACACACCTCAGTACTAAGTTACAAATGTATGGTTGTTATAACATTTTTTAGAGATTCGTAAAGGTTCACAAACAAACCAATTCAAATTTGAATTGAGAAAGCTTCCTGGAAGGGAAGCGAAACATCTTCAAACCTTGGAAACCAAGTCCAGTGGATTGTTTTTAAACTTTTACGGAATGACTATGACCTGGATGACTGAGAATCTACATCAGCATTGTTCAGGAACTCAAACTTTCTGACTCAATATTTTGGAAAACTACAAAATCTGATGTTTTTAAATCTCCACCAGCTTTGCACAAGACATTGTTGCCCCAATTTTGTTTTCTTGTTGTTGTTTTTCAGCAAAACAGGTTGAGTTCAACCAGAGTGAACTGAGAAAAAAATATTCCCACAGAAGGACCACCATGTTAAATCGATGTCTACTTTTGGACAGATCTGATGAGAAGAGCTTCAGCATGTTTTTTTTTTTTTTTTTAATTCCCTTTGTCACTTGAGGTAATATTTCTTTATTAGCTTCTTCAACAAAATCTTTCTTTTTCCAGATGTGGTGATCAGGTGCTATGATGTGCTGTGGGTTGGCAGGTGTATGTGGGAGCAAAAGCATTTTTTTCCTCAGAAACATCTCTGGTAAATGACAAACTAAAGATGTTGTGTTAGGTTGAGTGGTACCAACTACAAATAGTTGAAATGTTACAGGGAGTACTACGTTGGTACCATTGGAGTGGCAGACTGAGGCTCTGATTTAAAGCCAAACCTCTGGAGGCACTGATCGTCTTTTTCCCCTTCCCTTCATGTAGCAGGAAAGGCCAGGCCCAGGCAAATCCTGCAGTGGGTACTTCAGGCACACCTCTGAAAAGAAAACAAGAAATATGAGTAAATAATCGGGACAGCTGTATTCATTCTTTATTTCTAATTTTATTTTGAAATCATTTAACAGTGATATTAATGTTTTAGCAAACAAAGCTCTGGTATTGGAAAATGGTATTGGGGTCTGTAGATATCCAGGGTATTAAGTATGGAATTAAACCTGAGAAGAAATATCAGTATAGGTGTATCACTAGTGTCTTCTTCATAAAAACTGATAGGATGGAATGGAAGATGACAGATGAATTCGGAGTTCATCCTTTTTCAGGAAATAGCTTCTGGCTGGAGAACCCCATGAAAACCACGAAGCAGCTGGAGGGACGTTATTTCCTGTATGGTCTGGAAACGTCCTGGGATCCTCAAGAAGAGGTTGGAGAAAAAGCATTTCTGGATGGTTGGATGGATGGATGCATGGACAGATGGACGGACATTGTTTATCTGACTTATTAGCAATAAAAAATAATTATGATATCATCAGTAGCAGAAGAGTAGTAGTTATAATCACAATAGTAATAGTGGGGTTGGATGCAGGAGTTCACCCTGCAAACAGAGGGTTGTGGGTTCAATCCCTGACTCTGGCTTTCAGTGTCGTTGTGTCCTTGGCCAAAACACTTCACTTGCATTCCCTACTGATGGGGGTCAGAGGGCCTGGTGGCAACCTTGTATGGCAGCCCCGCTTCTGTTAGTGAGCCCCAAGGCAGCTGTGCCTAAAATGTAGTTTGCCACAGTGAGTGTTTGCATGAATGGATGATTGACTGAATTTGGTGTAAAGCTCTTTGGTCAAGTCTTCTGACTTGAAAAGTTTAATTTTCCCTTTTATAGTAATAACGTTTTTAGTAGTAATAGTAACAAAATGTTTTTTTTTCTATTAGTAACAAAATAAATGGTATTAGTAAGTAACAGTAATTAGTAAGTAACAGAACAGGCAAACACAAATAAAACAACTTAAATATAATAACTGCTTGTAGAGACTAAAAGTAGAGAGTATAAGATGTCACAGTCTTGGCTCTGTTATGTTTTCTTTTGGGTATTCAGCTTTACTTTGCTCCATGTTTTATTGGTTTAATTCCTATTTTTGTTGTGTTTTGTGGTTATATTTCAGTTCTTAGGTTTTTATTTGTCGCCCTCTTGTGTTGGTCTCCTTTTTTCTAGCTCCTTTGAAGACTCCTTTCTTCACACCTGCTCCCAATCTGCTCGTTAGTCCTCTCTTTGTTCAGTCTCCCATAAATACTCTCCTTGTGCAGCTCCTCAGTGCCGGTTCTTCATCTAACTCTGTCTTACTTTGTCTTACCTCGTCGTGATTGTATTCCCCTGATGTCTCCATGGTTCTGGTATGTTTTCCTTTTTTCATGTTGGATTGTTGGATTCCTGCCTCAGTTGTTTGTGAACCTCTCATTAAATCTAATAAAAAAACTCAC